CCCTAAGAGGCACAGTCGCATGAGTTATTGTGGATCAAGAATCATCCGTGATTAGAGGTGGATGTCGTCAATGTAGCAGTCTCTCGGAAGCCACAGTTACTGAGGGGCACACTTGGGTGATATTAAGCCATTTTTGGACTGAAGCGGTACTAGGCAAAGGAACAGTTTTTGAGCCTTTAAACTGGTAATATATTACTGAAAGGCTAGAAATTTGATGGCTCTTTGGATAGGGGACTCCCACCATACCGCATCATTTTTACACGAGACCCTTTTTTACATTAATTGTCAGTGCCCCGCATATTTTCACCGCATTGCGTCATACTAACTGAGCGACACCCACCCCTTGCATTTTATAAGTACTCCAAAGTGTATAAGACTGAAATCACGACACATAATTCGAAAATTCAATTATTTTTGGGCCATAAACACTACATAGTTTGCGGAAACCATTCCATCTCTCTGCATATTATTTGAGTAGCGCGCACGCATATGCATTTGTTGTTTTGTAAGAATAAAAATGCATCATTGAGATTGCTTGAAGCTGTTGGATGATTCTTGCACATCGTCTGGCGTTAAGTCTGCTTTGGCATCCCTCACCGTGGATAGAACGCGCTTATGTGCTAATGGTGGAATTTAGATTTTTTTCACCCAAAAAATTGAAAAAGAATTGATAAGCCAATCACATAAACACAAGAGTATGAGAGAAATATTTGATGCCATCCTTAAGATTGGATATTACTATCACTGAAGTGCCATTTGTAGTTCCACATTCCCAGCCAGTGAGTTAAATAGGGGAGTGAGAGGTAGGCAAAGTAATGATTATAAATTCAGCAACGAATTATTCATCAACACAGTTCCTTTTTACCTATTGGCTAATCCACTGGAGGTCGTATTGTGAGATCAATGTGAAGCTCTGAGTGTGCTTAAAATTGCGTGGGTATGTGAGTGGAGGCAGGTAAGTGCAAGCTCACTTTGCTTTGCGTATGGTTGTCTGCAAGCAACATGTCAGATATCGATGAGTTGGATTACACCGAGAGCCAACAGCAAGACTCCAGTTCCTTGCAGTACTCCGTGGAACCGCCAGGAACACCACCATCTCTTCCCAACTCTCCCGACATACATCCTACTCAAGATAATCTGGAGCGCAAACACCGTAGATCAGTCAGTGAGCAACTCTTCTCCGTACCCAACTTCCATGCAATCGCATCTAAGGGCAACATTCTGGGCCATCATCGCAAGCGAAATACATTCGACAAAAACGGCGATGGGGACACCGATATGGGAAGCCTTGGGGAAAGGTATGGCGGAGGGAGTCCAAGCGGTTACAATACAGGGTGGGATTATGGAAACCACTCTGTTCCTGGGGCTTATTTGAGCGACTTCTCGCCTTTCGAAAGAAGCTGCGAAACCTCAACCAATCACCACTCTTCTGCGGGCCGACCTTATGGTGGTACGCATTTAAAACAAGCGCTGAAGAGAAAGGTCAAGAGGGCTCTTAATTCATCCCGAACGGTGGGTTAACCGCCCTTTCCCGCAATTAAACACTAAAAATCAATTAACTTAAGTATTTTTTTGTTACCTTGTAAGGGTTGG